TCTGGGTAAGTGACAATTACATTATCCTGAACATTTTGATCCTCAAAGCCATACTGGTGGCCAAATTTCACTTTAGCATCTAACTTTGAGCACCCAAGGTGCAGGTCTTTTAGGAAGGACAATATATTCTGCAGAACAGCAGAACTGTTCAAGGATAGTGTAAGGAAGGCAGAGGAAGAGCATATAAATACTACTGTGCTCTACGTAAATTTGTCCTGCTGTTAATGGTAAATGTTCTCTTACTCCAGTTTTCCTGATCTCATTTCCTCTTCTGCTTTCTAATTGCAGAAAGTAAAGTAGTACAAACAAAAATAGTTTCATTACATGCAACACCTGCTGCCTGTTCTGAAACAGATGTCTACAGCATCATTAGGCAATTATTTCTTTAGCCTTTTTCAGTGGGACTAATTTCAAACATCTTTGAGCTAAATCCTCCTCCTTCAGCTTCCTCTGTATTTCTCATCCTTTCCTACATTCAGAGTTCCAACAAAAACTCTTTTCTGTATCAGTTTGCTCCTGTTCTTTGTCCTGGATCACTGTACTCACAAAAGGACAAAGAGAGAGACTACACTTTGAACCAGGAATTAAGTTCAAGAGACGCTATTGGGGAAAAAAAGAAAGGTGGGGGAAGAAAACAATAACAGAATATTAGCCAGCAGTGTAAGCAGTAGTTTCGGAACACCAGCTGGCTTGTTACAGCTCAGAGGGTTTTTTGTGGGCATTACAGCCAAGAAGAGTTTTACACAAATGCAAGGGCAACCCCTACACTCTCAGTGTGAGTGACCAGTTTTGGCAATAAGAGGAAAACCCAACCTCAAGCACCCTTTTCATTTCTCTATGACTTTCATATCTTGCCAAGAAGAGCACATGTTAGAATCAGGTAGGCCTGCAGGGCTTGCGTGACTTCACTGTTGGGAAGACATTTGAGGGAAGATTCCTCCCTCCTATTTCCAAAGATCATTGTAATATTTGGATGAGGTCTCCACTCCTGGGAGGAACCATGAACTTTCCAGGTCAATAACAGACTTGGCACATACCGCATTTAATCACATTGGCTGCAATGACATACATTTGTGATTTATCTTACCTTGTTCCCAGAAGAGAGATGTGAAGGTGGCAGAGAGCTCCAGTTCTAGCTGGTAGGGAAGGAGTGTTCATTCTTCCAATCAATAACAAAAAAACAAGCTAAAACAAGAGCTGTAGGACATGTTGTGCCAGGTTAATTGGCATTGCACTGTTCAACACTTGCTGAAAATCATTCCTTTAGGTTATTTCTTTCACTGGCAAATTCCTGGTTATACTATTCTCAGGCAACCTTGTTCAGCTGGGCTGGTTTCAACTTGTAAATGACTGTGATTAGATTAGAATAGTCTGCATTGCACATTTAAAAGATATTAGTGGGAATGGACTGGTGGCATCATTAACAATCAGTTGCTCAACTTTGTACCCCAATGTAAAGCTACAGCTTTACTAGATTTTAACTGTTTGATTTGCAGTTTGCCATTATGACTGTCTGCCTTGGGGCAATCTGTATGAGGAAACTTCAGGAAAAACAGTCCAGTCATTTCTTAAAAGAGCACTGCAGAATGAGTACTTCTTGTGGCAGCTGAAGTTACAAAAACAGGTTCCTTGGGACTGTCTCGTGTGGTTTCCCTGGTGTTGTATGACTTTCTTCCTTCCCCTTAATGGAGGCACTGATTTGGGCTTCCCTCCTCTATCAGTGCATGCAATTTCTAAAAATGTGCCAGACTGGAACAGCTCAGGGTCCTTCACCCTTCTGAATTGGCCCAAGTCAACTGGGGTGATGGGACAGAAGTTGACAAATGCTGAGACACACAGTATAATCACATCAGAGTAAAATACCACTTTCTCAGGAAAAACAAACAAACAAACAAAAAAACACCCCAGGTTGAAAGGAGACACACTTACTGCCAGATACACAACCTAAAAGTTCACATCAACTTTACAGATCATATCTGCAATAAGATCTGCAGGGACATGAAAGTGGCAGGGAGAGGCAGATAGCTTCTATCAGGGGCGTGACTTGTGCTTGCTCAGGTTTGGGCAAGACAGGAGTGGTTTATATTTACTTTGTACTTGGATGCCTGCAAGAAAACCACCACTAGAATCTTTGAGGGTGCTACTGGGTCTTTGGGAGCGTGGAGTGCAAAAAGTGCTGTTTTCCTGAAATTGTAGCACTTTCTTGCTGCAAACCACATGGGGAAGAAAGCTTCTGGTGCCTAGACAAGGAGTAAAGGAGAGCCTGCTTGAATCAGAAGGGGCAGTGAGCAGTGCCAGGTCAGTTAGGCAAGGGGATTATACTGAAACTTTTTGCCAGATGTTGACAAGGACATTTGAGTTAGGAAAGATAAAGGGAACAAAATAGAGAGGAAGGGGGTTTGACACAATCTGTGGTGCAGAGATGAACCATGAGACTGTGAATGAAATGAAAGGCCTGAGAAATGAGTCAGAGGAGAGAGCGGAGAGCAGAAATAGATGAAAGAATTTAGGGGGAAAGCCTCTGTGCCTGGCAAGGCATATTGCTGGGAATGAAACTCAAGATCCCTGGCTCAGCATTTCCCTGCTGCCAGCAAGCATCCACAAAAATGTTGTTGTAATGCTAGGGCTCCTTGAGGATGGTAATCAATTATTATAACTATTCTTTTATCTTTGTGGCTGAACTTTTGTTTGCTCACTAGCCTGGAGGTTTGGGGCAGGAGGACTGGGAACTGCGCTGAAAGATGGCAATAAAGAACGAAGCACTGCACTGACAGGAAGTTTCAAAATTCAGGTTGCCCATGGGATCTGAACTCGCTCCCTTCCCATTTAGAGGTAAGTATAAAGATACAAATCTTTGCCACAGGATCGGCTTACTCCCAAAGTAAACCAAACTGCATTTCTTTGACAAACAGATTTTCAGTACTTTGTCTCATAATTCTCCATGTGGCTCCATGCCTCGCTGGCTGCTCATTGATGAATTCTCATTCTGAATAATGAATTAGCAACTCTTTCTATTTATGCTGTTCATCACTGGAATACACAAGTATGCACAGATCCACAACAGTAACAGCTTTTAGTCATGTAGCCAATTTTTAACTTTTTCATTTATTACTCTGAAAGTAAAGCTTCATTCCCAGGTAGTTTGTGTAAAGTGCATACCCTCATGGGTATAAATTTACAGTCCAAAGATCTGACAACAAGAATACTAAGAACTAATTTATCTGGATTTCTGTTTTTATGAAGTCATCTAAGAAGTCATAACAGGGAATAGGATTCCGTGAGAAATACGACACAAATAAAAATAGGGAGACCATCACTGCCTCATAGGACCTGGAGAGCAAGATGACAAGACAGGCAAACTAATATGCATGGAAAGAGAGGCAGAAAAAGATAAAGCTATTAGTTCTAATCCAAGAGCTAATTTTTCCAAGTCTCACTCCAGCTTCTCTCCATTCATTCTCTTCCACACAGCCAGAGTTCTTTTAATGACTAGGATTAACAAAAATTGATGCTTATGCCCTGCACAGGAAGCTGTATTATCCCCAATTTACAAAAGAGGGAAACTGAGGCACGAAGCAACCTCATTTCTTCTCTCATCTAAGCAGAGGGCGGGGACTGAAGGCAGAGCTGTTCCTTTGTTTCCTCACCAGGAAAGCAATTACCTTGCATTTTGCTAGAACAGAATGTTGAGATTCTTTGGTAATTTTTGTTCCCAGGTGCTGCATTTTTTTGGAAACTCACCTTTTTAAGATACCATAAAAACACTGACTGCTTTTAAAAAATCCATTTTACTTACCTGCCTTTTACTGCGTTAACTGTTTCTATGGAAACTGGAACTGGTCATGAAGCAGTCCTACAACATGAATTCTCACTTGCCAGTTTTACATTAAAGTGCCACCTTCAAAGTCCTTTAATAAACCACTAATAATTGTGTTGCTTAACGAGTTTTCCAATTAAACAAAAGAAGAAAGCGTGCTTTCACTGAATGTTCTGCACAATATTTTGTAGGTGTGGTCTAAGAATTTTAACAGTGTGCATGATATGACTCTCTTGGTTAAGGATATGATCTTTAAACAGAGAGACAGTTTATTAGCAGTAAAAGCCCTAGTGTGTGTAGTTAGACTTACATAAAGGTGACTTATACCAATATGGGTATGTCTAGACTGCTGTCACAGAAGCACACTGTAGAGATACTGAGTGAATGGGTAAATCAGCCTACAGTGAGCTCTGTGCTCCTACAGCTCGCTGGGGTACCTCTGTGCAGGCATATGCATGTGGTATTCCCTGTAGGTACGAGAGGGAATGCTCTCAACCAGAGTAAGTGTGAGTCTGTGTTGGGTGGCTACTGTGGAAAAAATAAAGCATGCAAGCTTAAGACACAACCATTTCATACAGTTATTCAGAATTAGAATCCATGTAGCTCAAGTCTAGGCTCCTCCATCACCTTTACCTTAACCTTTTACTTTCGTAAAAACTCTAAGATCCCCTGTGTTCATTTTACTTACTTTTCTGAGTCAACTCAAGGGAGAAAAATCCCTTTTTCCTGTTCTTGGGGAGCAATCGCCAACAGAACACACCCTCCATCACAAGAGTAGAGCACTGCCAGCAAGGATCAACTTAAAAACTTCCAAGGACAGGTTCTATCCAGAGTAACCTATCTGTGTTTCCTGAGATAAGTTCCTCTCACCTCATCTCCAAGGCTTTGCAGTGCTTTTAAATTGCAACAGGGGCAGGACTGATGCAAACACAAGTGTCTGCTCTCTCTACCTCCAAGCATAGAAAATCAGTGGACAGGGATTTTAGGCAAACTTTACACAAAGAAATACATCTAAAACACAGGAAGTGCAGCCTCAAAGTCAGAGGCAACAGAAATTGCATGTGTGACTATACAAACTGCAAAACACACAGATAAAATCCTATTTTGGTGTGAATTCATTTTAAAAAGATTCTAAAGAGCAACATGATCTCCAAACTTTCTTTTCCTCCCAAAACTCATCCAGCCCACACACTTGGCTGACACCCCCAGGAGAACCAGGGTCTTTCTTCTAACTTAAGAGAGAAGATCACCTTTCCTACTGAGCTAGAAGCATTCCTTTAACCCTTTCCCAGCAAAACAAGCTTCTGCTAATACAGAACTTTTCAAGGAAATGGCCAAGCCACTCTTTTAAATTAGATGCCATGCTCTTCCACATGGTCCAAAACATCACATGCTTTCCTTTAAAGTATCATCAAGCTCATGCCAAATAGGCAACTTACCCATATGTACTGCTTGATTATGGAAAACTCCTGAAGTGAGTTTGAATTTAGGAATTAATATTCCAAGCTACTTCTTCCATAGATAGCCCTTGGTTTTAAGCATCACTTCAAAATGATCAGTAATCAGAGCAGGAATTTAAAAAGCAAATCTCCCCAGTGGCCAACCAGACCTTCTCAGAGGCATTAATTAAAGTTGCAACTTCCCTCAATACCAGTGCACTCAGAAGCTGCCTTCTTTTCCTGATTTACAGAGATGTTTATGGGGGTAGAGGGTGGGGAACAAACACTCTACAATTCTTCCTTAACCCTCTTCTATTTCCTTCTGCACAGCTACATCCCTTCAGGACCTGTTCAGGGCCCATATTAAGATCTAACTAGAAGGTACCCAACTCAGAACAGAGCAGTAATGTAAGGAGCAGGGCAGCCCACAGGGAAACCAACTATTGAGTCCTGCACCAAGTAGGGAATTTACAGCAAATGAATGATTCATACATAGTTTTCTACTATGAACAAATTTACCACCTCTTTAAGGCCAGAGTTTTCCACAGGCCTCTGAATGCAAATGCCAAATATTTTGTCATGCCTTTTTCTTAGCCTATATGTCTCTACAGCCAGGGCTTAGAATGAGGCATATAATATAACAAACCAGAGACCTGGCACACATGGGGCTCCTCACTGCCTTTCCTCATGCATATGGTTTATTTTTCCCAGCTATGTCAATCCTTATAGGGCTTTACCACTACATCTGCCTCCTGGGAGTCTGCTATTGCAACTCTTACAGGGAAGGTGCAGAAGAAAAAAGGATACATTTAATCTTCTCTACTCTTTTCAAGCTAAAGGTCTCACTTCTACACCATTGATTAAACAGATTAATTAAACAGACAAGCCCCTGCAGCAGCAAACCCTCTCCAAGGATAAATACCAAACAGCTCCATTTTTTGAACTGTTTCACATAACAGAGCTGTGATTATTCCAGATGAAACATCTTGCATGGTAACCTTCTTTGGGCCAATGTTTACGTCTATGTCTTGTGTTCCTCGGCAAGCACAGCTATGGGTAGCATTTTACCCCAAAGGTGACAAAGAATAAAAGACAAAAGGCAACAGTGCTCTTTAGCAGTGACTTTTCTTTACAGCCCACCGGATGTAAATATGAGGATGGCCAATGTCTCATCTTACTCCAAGGAAAGAGCCCAGTTTCTTTTCCAGTTCCCCTGCTGTATTAGAATGTCCAGAATCAGTTTGATACAGCTCTCACTAGGAATAGCAAGGAAGTCAACAAGAATATTAAAACAAGTATTTAAACAACTTCTCTGAAGCTGGACAAAACCAGCATTTGGAGAATCAGAAGGCTCTTTTTTATCCCCTATCTAGATCATATCAGCTAATAAAAGCTTTTTGGAGTTACTCAACATCTCCTTCTCTCCTCCTGAATGGACCAGAATGAATGTATCCTGTCTTTTCTCTTTAAAATGCCATATAATATCCTTCCATAGTGCTGACAACATCACTGTTACTCTCCAGCAGTTCCAAGACACGGTGCATCACCACTTCAGCCAGGGAGGGGTTGTAGCTTTGCCGAACACAATTGAGGACATGAAGGAAATGGCAGCCTTTTTCAGCATCTGCAGGGAAAAAAGGGAAAATACAGCCAGGCATGGAGGAAAGACTTCGATCTGCCTCTTTTGAACTATTATAATCCAGATCAGTCATGAAAAAACAGCTGCTAGAGAGAAAGAACACCCTAGATACTAAAGCAGAAGTGTGTGTATTCAGAGGGAAGAGATCCAGTCTGTGCCTACAGTTCTTCAATTATCAGCTGTCTCCACTGACTTTTCTGGGAAGTGTCAGGGCTGCAGCAGTAGTAATGAGGGTTAAAGTCTCAGTCTTGTCAACTGTAACATATAAGAGTCATTCAGTAGACTTGACAATGAGGTCAATAATGTAAGAGTACCAAGCTATCCAGTTTATGCAGCTTCACAAGGTCTCAAAAGAGAATAATTTTGTTCATACCCAACTTCGAAACTCTTTAGCACAGCAGGGAGGTGGGAGCTATGCGGCTAGGACCTGTAACCGCTTGCCCAACGCTGGCATCTTGTGGAAAAACTGCTGCAGTGCAACTTCCATTCACCTCAGTGCGATCCGTCCCTGCCCTTCAGGCTACTCAGACAATTACTGAAGTAGAATGTCTCAGACCTTCAGTATCAAATTTTATCTCCTTTTAAGAGGAATTAGCCGTGAAATGTACAAGAGAACAGAAATTTTAAATTAACACCCTTTCCTAGGGGGCAAGCACAGAGGTCCTCAAAGGCTGCACAAAGCTACTGTGTACCAGGTGGAGCTGTCATTCGAAGCTGTTCCAGTCAACATTTCCTCCCACAGACCCTGTAACACACTAATCATCCGTGCTGCAGGCTCCCAGTCTCTCCAAGTGCTGAACTCCACAACACATTTCTCCTTGGTGGCTAACAATGGAAAACAAACATAAACGAGACACACCAACACAAATTATTTTCCTTCTCCTCAGCCCTCAGCTCAGGTGATGCAAGGCAAGTTTGATAAGGGTACTGAGAAATTGCTATGGGCTAGGGAAGTCCCTGTATTTTGTTGTTGCTGCCTTTGTTTTTTTTTTTTTTAGTTATTCTCTACTCTAGAATCTGCTGAGCCCCAGAACTGCCTTAGAAGCTGCTGAAAAAAGTCACTCGTAGATAGTGGTAAATAAACAGTTCAGCCTAATTCCTATTAGACTGTGGATCAGGCAGAAATACTTCTTTAGAAGTCAGTGATCCAGCATGATAAAAGGCCTTTGTGGCTGACAGCCAAAATGTGTCCACCACCCTAGGAGAGGTAAGTACAGAGAACAGAACAATGCCTCTAGCTGGTCACGGTGACTGTTGTTGCAAACAAGGTGGGTAACCACATTTTACATTTGTCATAGGTTTGTCATAAGAAGGTCGAAGTGCCCATCCCTGATCTACAGTAATTTAAGTTTCAATGAATTAATTAGTGACTCAAGTGTTACCCAACAGTGCAATACATACTTTCCTCCTAGATGGCACTTTGGGGTAGTTGCAGGTGTTTACAGTCATTAAGTAACTTAGAAACACTCCTAGTCTGCAGCCCAGCTTTGAGGGAATACACTCCTTACAGTGGAGTCGTGCTGTCCCTCTTTCGCTGACATCTCGGGTTCCAACTTTTGTCCAGCAGCTGAGGTAAGCCAGGCTGCCATTAACTGTTGTGCCTGACAACCAACATCAGGGGGTGCAGAACAACTGTACAACAGAACAACTATCATTTGCCCACTGTGGACATCTCACACAGGGTACATGCTGACATATTAAATTTAACTTCGAGTGGTTCTGGTTTTTTGTCCTCTCTACTATCAGCCTGATCTAAGCCTAAAACCATGGCAAATTTATTAAAAAAAAAAAAATAAATCCATTTTGCAGTTCAATCTGGAGTCAAAATGCACTGTCTGCTCTCTGGCTATCTTAAGCTTCTAGATGGACCCACAGTGGCCTCATGTGAGGGCATTTAAGATCAGGCTGTTTGGAATTATAAGTGGAGCCAAGAACTAGGATTGTCATGTAGGCACATTATGGATCAGGGTTTGTGGAGCTCTCAGCAGGCACACTTCAGATTTTTTTTTATTATTTGTACAGTAGTTCCATACAGCTGGGTTGGGCCTGAGAACGTGTCACAACTAAAGCAATGGAGTGAGGCGTTGCCTGGAAAACTGGCAGAGAAGTAACTCATTGGAGAGAAGAGTTTGGTTTATCATAAATCAGCCTTCTTGTCATGGAAGATTACTACTGCTCTTGAAGGAAAACAGGTAGGAACTTCTTGCAACAAGCAAAAGCCCCTGAGGTATATGCCGGTGTCCTTATTTTCTCCCTGGGAGCCCAGCTGGGATTGCCCTCCTGCCAGCAGAGGGGGGCCGGCAGCCACACTGAGCTCCACGCTCTTGCATCATTCAGAGACAACAAATACCCACAGTGCCCTGCTGGTTTTGACTGAAACTTCTTGACTTTTCTTCTATCACCAGTGACCAGGTCATTGAAAGGGTCCTTCGGAAAACCAGCAAAGGGACACTGACCTGGAAATTGTCCTCTTTACAGCAGGAAACTAAGTAGGGGGAAAACTTCAAGGAGAACAAGAGGCTCAGTTAAGCAGTTGCTAATTTTAACCTGCTTAGTATGGAAAACATGGCTTTGAGGACTCGGGACTCTTCAAAGTCTTTTCTGTGACTGATCTAGAAATTCCTCTCTGCTGTTGACTCCTCCTGACTAAAGAACTTCCCAACCTCTCATAGATCACAGAGTACTTTACCAGTGTGACAGTGCACAAGAGGAGAGCACCCAGTGCCCTGTGCCAACTGTATTCTGGATCTGGCCTTGATAGTGGCACAGATATATTAAAAAAAAAAAACAAAAAAACAGGTTACCAGGAGAACTAGATGATGTATAAAATGGGCAGAGGAATAATTTGACTCTTAATGATGTTTGTATTTGTTAATTGGATAAAAGATAATAAAACAATGTGATATGGTAATTTGTTGCATTGAAACAGCCTAAGGCAAATGAGCCCATCTTAACCTGCATGCCCAGTAACCTCAACTCCCTCCATCCCCCTAAGATACAAAGACCTTTCACCTCCATCCCAAACTTTGTATACAATTGTACCATATTTTAAGATAGCCAGTTGAAAACTCCAATATAATACTGCTTCACTTAGCCTTTTTTCACAGCAGGATAACCATCGTACACCAGGTCCTACAAGCACTATTATGTTAGTATAAGGATATGAGCAATTTAAGATTATATGCCTTATGTTCTACTCAGTCATTATTCTGTACTAAAGCACATTCTGTCCCACAAATAGCTGCACTCCAGCAGCAAGTGATCCCTGCTGACACATTCTGCCCAATGAATTGAAAGACACTGTAGCAATGTACCTGTGTAATTAGCAGACATTCCAGTCAAGCACAAGTTATCACTATGGCAATAAGACACAATAGGCTTGAGGGACAGGGATAACTCAGAAGCCACTCGAGTACATTATCTGAAAATAAGTGGACTTTGTTTGACTGAAAGCTCTACCTGCAAAGAACAACCACCTGAGCTCTACCTGAGCTTAAAATCTACAGAGAATATCCTACTGACTTAAACAAGTTTTATTGTTGACTTAATGGAGGCAGGGACTTCACCTTTCTGCATGGTCACTTTTGTGTCAACTCCCCTGAAGAAACTGAACCAGCAAGATTTGCTACTTCTGCAGAGTGCAATGCAACAACTGCTAAGTGGTGACCTAACTTCATTACATTTGGTTCCTCCCAAAATCTAAGTATTCTCAAAAGATATAGATTAAAGATAAAGACTGCTTATTTCAGATCTGAGAGGTTTGCTTCCTGCTGGGCACACAGGCTCTTCCTCTCCCCACACTCACAGGAAGCTGCTCCTGCACTCCAGCTTTCAGCTGTACTGATGGTCTACACCAGCAACAGCTCCAAGTCCAGAGGTAAGGACAAACAGCATATCTAATCCAGCAGCAGGAGGAGATACTGTCATCAGTATATCAGCACCAGCTCCTCAGAGCCCTGATCACTGATACTTACGCCTGGGTTTTCGACAGTCTTCTTTAATCACATCAAGGGTCACTTTGAGCAGTTCCTTATCATGGTCAGTCACCTGGAGAAAAAAGAAGAAACTGGTGATTTATAGCAGCCTATTTCACAGTACATGGCCTGGCTGTTGAAAAGTAATCCGAGAACATGATGTATTCTAAGCTAACACTGTCATAACTACAGTCTGCATTATACACTGCCTATAAGACGAATAATAAACATCAAATCTTCAGTTATTATTTGATTACTATTAGCAGCATCCATAAGTTAGGTGAAGAATGTGATACAACAGAATTCAACCCAAAGGAGGCTGGCTGACTCAGCAGAACACCAAGCTTTAACACACTTCAATAAGAACTGTCCCAGGTCCCAGGTTTCAGTGAGCTCAGGTGCATCAGTGCAGTTTGGCAAGCCAGGGCACTTGGAACAACAACTTGGTGGGTTATACAAAGGTAAAACCAACAGTGCTGCAGATAAGAGTAAATGGAGAGCACTTGGATGTCCAGCTTCTCTTTCTGAAACATTTCTACTTTTTCTGCAATGTTTCTACTGTTTCTACTGACTATGAAAGTCATACCCCTGAACTTGTTTACAACCACAGCTCAATTCCTTACGTGGTATAAGTCCTTGGAGCTACTAGGTTTCTGGAAAACCACTCCTTTTTCTTGTAGCATCTTTATTGCTTCCTTAAAAACATTGTGAATCCTTTTGGAACTGGAGTTACCTTTTGACTTCACCTGGATGGGAAGAAAGAAATGAAGCAGATGGTGAGAGATATCAGCTCAACTAAAGTTACAGCAAAAGCTCCAGGTGCTTTCAAGAGAAAGAGGACTTCAGGTCCTCTTTAATGTGAATTTTGTTACATATTTTTCTTCATTTAGTAATTCACAAGTCATAGCTGTTATGTATGAACTAACCAATATCTGTGAGCTTTAAACAAAACCCGAACACCAGAAGCTTGTCCATTTTTAAGGAATCACAACCTCTAAACTTCTTTCTTTGTATTTAGCAGCTATTTGATTATGTACTAAGAACTCCTTCTTGGAATATGCTTGTGATGCTTACAGAGCATTTGACTATTTATCTAATCAAGCTTTTTTCAAATTCAGAGTTTTCCTTGTAACAAGGGTAGAAAGGTAGGAAGATCAGTGTTTTGTAAGGTGATATTCAGGAGGAATCTAAGTGCTGAGGACTAGATTCCCATCTCCCAGTTTCAATCAGGGAAAGGAGAAAATTGAAAAAAACCAGTATTTTTTCCTTGTCCCCTTTGTTTCCAAATTTGTACAAACATTCTGGCCATGATCTCAGTAGCTTCTCCACAGCCTAGTGAAGTGAAAGGATAAAGAGCATGCAAAAAATTAAGACAGGTATATGAGATAAGAGAACAAAGGATTCAAGTTTTGAGGAGAGGTGGGAAATGAGCTCTTGACAATGTGCCTGGATGTCCATAACTGAGGAGGTTATTTAGAACACAGGGTTCTGTGTTTGGGACACATCTAACAGAGTAGGAAGGAAGAAGAGGGGAAAAAAAGGGAAAAGCAGGGTTTGTTTGAAAGTAGGGCAGAGCTTTGACACTGGAATTTCAGCTAAGGAAGAAGAAGGAAATAAAGAATCAGTTGTGGAGAGGGAAAAGTATAGGTAGATGATTTACTCTTCTCCGTCTCCATCTGTCCTGCTCTATCCTTCAGCCTCCCATTTATCTACACAGACTGCTTCAGTTCCCCAGTTGTTTTCTCATCTGTTGGGAGCACACTGTGCTCTCTGTGGTTTTCTTTGAGAAGAGAGTTAAACTGCTTCCCACAAGCCAACATGAGATAACTAGAACCACACCAGAGCAACCAAAGCAAGATTTGCCAAGCCATTTCTTCAACTATCACTGTAACTGCTCCCACCCTGTTCTGAACAAAAGTATCAGACTTCACATATCCTACTTCACTCACCAGAAGCACTCAGAAGCCTTGGAGCAAACCAGGCAACCACCACCACTAGAATGAATTCACATGAATATGCAAAATGGACACCACATGAGCAATGGAAGAACATCTTTTCACAAAACATTAATTCAATACATTTGCAATTCTCAAGTAACACTCCAACTGCCTCTAAGCCCAGAAGCTGATGTACCTAACCGGGAATAGTTCAGACATCTAAAAGGGATATTGGTGTTAGCATGCATCACAAGTTTCTCCATTTTCTTTGTCCAGCTAATCCTCAGTATTTCAGCAGGCCATAATCACATCTCTCTCTCTCTGTCCCACAACTGATAACTCTTTCCTCTCAAATCAGCAGTAAAAACTAATTGCCTAACAGTTCAAGATAATTAACATAGAAGAATGGCTAATATTCTCAGTTCACTTTTCTCTGTTTCAGACTGAAGGACTTTGTCTGTCCTCCCGTATACCACAGCTATCAGTCTAGATAACAACAGGCTTCACTTCTAATTACAAACTTGACCATGCATCTGGACACCATTCCAGTTACAGCATTAATACCACTACCATATTCCTCTTCATAGTCCCTCTTCTGATGAACTGAAGAAACAAACATAAAATGTAGCAGGAAGGATTAGGTGAAGAGTGAACATTTTCTCATGGAAAAGCACATTCTTGTAGCCCTATGTAAAATGAAGACACTTTGCTTCTCATTCAAATGCAGTAGTAAATCCTCAAGAATGTAAGAAATTGCTAGCAAAGCAACCAACTCAAGACTCTGATCAATTTTTAATGTGAAAGCAAACATTTGGGGAGAAAAAAAGATAAAAATATCTCCAAAGAAGCACAATAATTATTCAGTTTGGCTTAACACTGAGATCCTGTCAGAAAAGAGAGATAATTAAAAACAGACTCTGTGTGAACTGACACACAGCTCAGCCTGGATGGATACTGAGACAGAATCACTAAGAATGCAAGTCAAGGCAATGACAGAGAGAAGGCAGCGAGGCCTCATAATAAGTAAGCAGCTGCTACATATCAGCACCCTCTCATATGTGCTGCAGAGTCCATGCAAAGGGGCTCCATGGCAGAAGGACTGTTCCTGAAAAACAAATGCGGGCTCTTGCCTACTTTATTATTATTATATTATGTATTCATATAATAATATTATATATTATTGAGCTTTAATATTATCATAAAATGACAGGAAAAATTTGGGATTTTTTCCTAGTATGCTTTAGAATATGCTTCCTCCTCTACATTTGTCTTACCACTAAACTGAACTGCGACCCGGGTTCGATTCCCGGCCCCCCGGGCAGATGGAGCTCATTAGCCCTGTGTGGCAATCCATCTAAGAGAAGGTCACTCTAAACAAACCTGCGTTCTGAGGACCTCACTGCCACTGTCCAAGCGTGCTTGGCCCCGGCAGATGAACCTCAGGATTAAAGGGTGGGCTCAGTTCAGCACACGCTGTGTCTCACCTAAAAAAATCCACTGCGCAGGCTCGAAGGGTTAATGACCTTTCCCAAATCTTCGCTCGCGAAGACTGGCCATTAAACTGAACCCTCATTTCCTCTGGACTTGGATCCCACTCAGATTCAATGTACACCCCAATTTGTGATTTAGTCTACTAAGTAGGTATCTGCAGGAGACTGAACATGAGGTTATACACAGAAAGAAGAAATTTAGAACTATGAAATCCTAAGTGATTTCACATCCCTGCTTACTCAGGGGTAATTCCTTCTGAGTCACAGCCTATTAGCCATCCCTTTATTTTTACAAAGCTTTCATCTCAGAAATGCAGATATTAGGTAGTTTAACTGCCAATCCAAAGCACCACCAAGATTTGAATCTGAATTTCGAATGTACCTCTCACAATGTTCACACCTCATTTTGCAAAGTGCCCCTTTTGGGCCTGCCTTAGATTTCTTAGTGCACCATTTCAGGTTCTCTGAAGTACTAACAACTTCCCCCCCCCCCCCCAAATCAGGACCTCTTCAAATAAACTAGGCTGTACATCCAAACACAGGAGTGTTCAAAAATCAGTCATCACTTTTACAAAGCACATGTTTTGTGTGTGTGTGTGTCTTGAGATAGAAGCAGCTATTGAATAATAATTTTACCTTCCCTACCCTCACTCCCCAGACCAGCCAACAACTCTGTAGCAAAGCCAACAGAAGAAGCTATGTATTCAGAATTAAGTTAGTATTTTAATCAATATATTCCATTGGATGGTTCTCACACAGCTTAGTGGGCTGGTGCTGTAAAACCAATTATTCTCAGATCTTTAAAACAAGACAAACTCTCTGTACAATCAATAGTAGGTCAAAGAAATGAAGTGGTACAGGAATTAGTCAGTCTGTTCAAAACACTGAAAGTATGTAACCTTTGACTCATAATGAATCACAACACACCCTGATGGTGTTAAAGTTTCCTGGTATAACCATACACATGATTCCACTCCTGGAATCGCCCTTTGCAATTTGTCATGAGGTGTTTAATCCTTGGCTTAGGCAGGTGACAATTTTAGTAATAGTGATTCTGGACATGTCAGTCCTGAAGTCCTATAATAAGCTTTGCAATATACATATTTAAAGCAGCAGTGAAGCTTCCTCAAGAGGCAGAAAGACAAGCACATAGCATTAAGAACATATAATGCACTGTGTTACACCTACAATGTACAGGGTATATACAGCAAGTGTGAACAACACTGTTCAACTCCCTGCTTTAAGTACTTGGCATTGCTGACCTTGAGATAATATTCAAATCTGGAGAAGTGCAAACAGCACAGTCTGGAAAGCACAACCCAAGTTATGTGTCCAAGTGCCATACACAAACTGGAACAGTAACACTAAAACAGCACATGCTACAGCTTATGCATGAAAGAATTGTATAAAAATGGTTAATCAAGACGAGATGGTTGCAAATATTTAACTCAGTTGAGAAACTGGATGGGTCCAGTTCACAGATAATTTTCTTTAAAAAAGGAACCAAAGGCTTGTCCATTTGCCAAACAGAATTGCCTAAGTCCAGCAAGTACACTCTGGAGGTTCTCTAAGCACTAAATTACTTTTTCTGGTTTTGCTTGTAGTCTTCCTTCTGGTACCCACCCCTCCAGTCTCAAAAGTCATTTGTTTTAAGGGATAAGGAAAAGGCTATAGCTTAGGGATAGACAGGGCACTAGTTATGCAAAATAAAGCTCCACTGACTTTAAAGATTGTAACAGATTTGTTAATTTTTAACCATTTTTAAAAACACCAGGCCTTTCAATTCTCTTACCCATCCTCTGTAGACTATAAAATTAAATTTTCCCTAGTATCTGTCTGAGAAAGGGACATGATTTGAGTTCTGCCATGTGCACCTGTTAAGAGGGAAATTTATTCTGAAAAGCCAGAAGACTGCACTGGTGGGGAGCCATTAAGACTGGAACTAGGTATTGTAGGACATGTATGGGATGTGGACAGGGCTCAGACACAGTGATGCTGAAAAGGAACAGAGAGATGCTTCCTACCTCACGCTATCCCAGCTACCTCCTTCCATCTTCGCTCCCTGCTCCACTCCACTGCCAGTGACTCCACAGCAGCTCACCACCTCCCTGGAGAAAATATTCCATGGGGAGATACCCTCCCACTACGATGAACACTGTGTAAGTACTTTAAAAGCTGGGAGAGAGATGAAGGGACTGCACCACATCTACTAGGATCACAAGGAAAGGAAGAGAAAGGCGACAAATAGTTTAACAGTAACTGTGCTCTACAATACTGGAATTGGGGTAAAAAAAAATTCAAGTTATACATCCAAATAACTCATCCTTTCACATCCAGGTAAAGTGCAAGAAGTGAACAAGTTACATATTGCCGTGTGGCCTAATTAGTTTGGTCCACCCATCTAGCTCCTGCCCTGCCAATTAGGCATGAAATAACATTGTTCCACATCAGCAACACCATTTATCCTTTTGGTTGGAGGGCAATGCCAAACAAAAGACTACAGAAGTGAAAAGAAAAGAAGAGGGACAGGAATCAGATCTATTACACTTATTTTCATGGATTGAACAGGGTACTTGACCCTTTGCCAATTATGAGAAATGACACTTTCTAGAGACAGAGTAAAGGAACAACAAAGTGCATTTCCAGAGCATTACTAGGCACTCCTCTTAAGGCACTCAGGCCACTTGACAACTGCAGGTCCTTTCTTATGCAAAGACAGATAAGCCTCTTTGCAAGAAATTAATACCAAAGGGCAACAGAGAACCGCAATTTCTAAATAAGCATCTGTGTGCCCAAATTCCTGGGACGTACATTCACGCCCTTGCATCAGGGTCAGGAACAACTATTAATTATTACAATAGCTCTTCATGAATGCTAACAACACTGATGCTATATTGCTGTTCTTGGTTTGGGTTTTTTCATGGGGTTTTTTTTACCTTTTTTTTTTGGTTGGTTGGGATTTTGTTTGGTTTGGATTTTGTTGGGTTTTTGTTGTTTTTTTTTTCTTTAAATGGCTTTGCAAGTTTTTTATCTTGATCTTTCTATAAATGCTGAAACTTCTAAGATGGAAGTTTCCAGTATTGGTCATAATGACCACTACTTCCTTTAATGTAAAGTGTTTGGGAACTTTTAGTTCTGTTTCAGCCAGTTTAGGAAGCACCCTATACTATGTTGGATATTGTAGTATCAAACTTTTCTGTCAAAAATGAGAATAGCTCCTGCTAGTGTTAATATCCATATTTGCTTTAAAACAAACAAAAAATGCCTTAAATAAAAACAAAAAAAAAAACAACTCAGCTATGAAGAAGCAGCTATCAGCAGAAGTTCAATGAGGCCAACAAGAATAGAGCTACTCTTAATTATTATTTGACCTCATCTCCAAAGGACTGTTTTCGTGTTGCTTTCTTTCTTTTTTTAAGAATTAAACCAACATCAGAAATCAACATAACGGAGCACTTAACATTACGGTGCACATCAAAACAAGGCAGTGAAAATGACTGCCAGGGATTTACTTCTCCACAGAAAACTGAAAAGTAAACAAGTGAGTCACAACACTCCAGTTTAAGTTTCAGCTGCCACTGCTATCTTGGTAAAAGATGTAACCATCAGTTTTGCAGAAATCTACCACACCAGCTGAGAATCTGGTTTGTAATTTATCCAACTAATGCAGAGCAATATAAAACCATTTTACAAAATGGTTTTTGTTCCATTTCCTATTCTACAGCTGATTAAGAGCATACTAACTGATTGGAAAGTTTCTTAACAGTTTGGTTACATCTGTAAACTGATTTCTGTTTAATCCCATCTTCTGATGCTTTCGATCATGGCCTTTCACAACTCAGGATTTCCAACATGAGAAACATAGCAGTGAGTACTGTTCATCCACTCACCATAATCCCCTTTTGAAAACTACATCTCTATTAATATATTGAGCTTCAAATGAGAAACAAGACAAAGAATTGTGCTCCCTTCTCCTGATTAAATTCAGGATATGGAGAATCTGTTTGTCAAGGACCTTCAAGTGATCTCCTTTTCTGAGACTGGCACTATTTACAAATCTAAATTAGGTAGTGCCTGTTGCAGGCTGTAAGGTTGCTCAGCCCTAACACAAGATTATCCCTAATAACTGAATGTCCTTACATGGCTTTGTTCAGCCCGGTTTTATACGTCTAAAGTGACAAGGTTTCCTCAAGCTCTGTAAATAATTCATGCATAAAGCTAAAGCACTTGTGGTTTTTGAATCCTAGACACCAGTCTCTTATCTGTTTATGCTTTAAAAAAGGACATGGTATTATTTCCCTCCACCCAAAACTTTGAGCAGGTATATTCACTCACCTCCTGACAGCTGGGACTGGGTAGATGCACATCCACCAGTGACACCAGAGTATCAATTGTTTCCAGCTCCTGCTGGTAAAAGGTCTGAATTTTGTTTTCTAATAGAAAGCCTTGCACTTTCTCATGCAGCATATGGATTGAGAAATTCTGACCCTCCAGGCCACTACAAGGATACACAGAATACGTCAAAAGGCAAGAAATGGGTTTTAGAACAATTACCTAGAGTCAGCCCACTAGACTGATTTCAAAGGTCAAAAGATATTTTATTATTCTTAGAGAATTTTATTTTAAATTCTTAATTAAATCAAAATATTTTTATATGCATAAACATTCAATTGTTCCTCTTCAATCATTTGCTGTAACAGTTTTGTGATTTTAAGATCTGCAGTTTCTGAAACCACACTACATGCATCAGACCTCCCAACAAGCACTCAGCTATCATTAACTGAATACAGCAATGGATGTTTGATTCAGTTTATTGAGGCCATGTATTTGTGATTTGATGATGACAAGGGCAGCAGAGCATTTCAATGGAATAGCTCCTTATCCTTACATATAAAATAAAATCAGGAAGGGACACTTCTCCATCCTCTCTGCTGACCTCAGCCCCAAATCTTGCTCAAAACCCTATTTTATCTCACTAGATGCAAGAGGTCTATACACAGTATTTTACTACCTTCCTAATATTCACTTTGGTTGATCACATTTCATTTCTCAGATACCTGGACAGGTGTTTCATCTGTATGGATCATCAATCATTTGGGAGAAAAGCAGGCTGCTACTGTATGTTTATGCAGAGTCTAAATCAGAGTTGGGCCCTGTTCTATCTTTCTCTACAATTATTACAATAACAAAAAAAAAAAATCATAAAATCCCACACTTTACCCCAAGACCAGTCTGGATACTGCATTTACCTCTGTCCTTCCTCAGGGCCTTGGAAAGGTTTATCATAAACTTCTCTATAGAGACAGGGGAGCTCCAGCATTCTTGAAATCTGAACATCATACAAAGGATCATCCACTTTATCTGGAGGAGCAAAAAGAACACACAGACTTGGCCAGGGGTGCTGTATCAATTTTTTTAAGCAAGCAAACCTGAGGCAGCACAACAGAGCTTCACAGCCAGTATTAAATTGGCAAATGTTGTTCACCATTGTTTTTACAAAAACAAAACCACAAAGGCTACTCCTTCTTTTACAGTTTACTAGGAGGTAAATGGTCTGTTGTGGTGCATTGCAGATTATGCTTTTGTCTGACAACTTATTTAACCAGAATTTATGATCTCCATTTTACCTTTCAACAGCCTTCATCCATTAAATGAAGTTAACACATAGCAAAAAGCTTTATTTTGGCCAAAATGAGAGCAATTTAGAGACTATTTGATTGCATGGCTCTCTTTGGTGTTATTACCAGTGCCTGAATGGGCTGTATATATTCATAAATCTTCTGTCTGGAAAAGAGGATTGAATTCCCTCGCAAATTTTAGCTAGAGCTGAAAAATCTAGACTTTTTATCTGAATTACAAGGGTTTTTAAAAGACAGGGTTCTCCCCACCAAAGAAATAATTCTAGTATTACCTCTGAAAGATTTCACTGGGGAAAACCAACTCTTACACAACAGCACAGATGCAGAACAGAAAAGAAGTTATGTAACTGGAAGCTCCCAGGGTGTAAACAGTAGACTGCAGAGCCCTGCTGCCCAAAGAGCTGTCAGATACAGAGGCAGCACCTGCATGCAGATCTGTGCCTGGGTGACTGAAGGTGACTGAGTCATTCTGCAGAGCCAGGGAGTTAAGGAGAACCCAGGCTTCAGTGGAACATTGCCCATGTGCTGCTGCCTGCCCTTGGAATTGATTGTACAGGCTGCAACAAACAGCAGACACTTCCCCAAAGCATAACTCCCTGGATGAAGTGGGACATGAAAGGTTACCAGCCCCTTTCCCATGGGCTTGGCTGGTCTGCTTCAACACAGAGCAAGTCACTCTCACAGATATCCAACCACAGTATCTGCACAGCATTCTTGTAAGGATGTTAATCATCTTTTATAGTTTTTCCAGGAATGCCTTATTTACAGGCAATCTAATCCCACACATTAAGTAGTGTGTCTTCTAACCTTACACTGCTAAAATTGAAATAAAGATACACAGATGAAAATCTCTTTAGAAAAATGAGATGCCAGAAAATAAAGTGGAAAATATTCAATTAATTACATACAGCTTAGACAGTTTCACAGATTCAGACAACTGAGTTACGTAAGTCCCTGGTTCATAACACTCACAGAAACTTGAAGCCTGAATTTCTCTTTGTTGCCTATAGGTTCGGATGTGACCTCTGACCCTGACAACATCCCCGATCTCCAGCTTGGTTTTCTGGCTCACTGTTTCTTGGAGTTTCTTCATCTGTTCAAACACAATAAGACTGCTGGGTGTGCTTGGATGACCTGCAAGCAGTGAGGGAAAGGGGATCAGGCATTAAAGTCAAGAGGACTGTCCTTTTGCATTCATCCACCTATGTATCACGAGACCCACATTACTAAAAAAAGGATAAGGTCCCAGGCACCATGTGTCCTGGGTAGAAAAACTTTTTGGTGACAAAGTTAGTTTACAGTATTATATTTATTTAAATAGTTCACCTGGGGAAAGTACAGAAGGGAGGAGATTCGGATTTACCTCTGAAAATGTCGTAGATGGGTTGCAAAATTGAATAATTAATGGGGTTTGTGGTTTTTTGATTTTGTCATGCTAAGAGGACGAGAGGGGAAAAGAAAGGTCTGCTGAATCTTTTATATAAAAGACAAATGAGTCATCTGAGGTGGGGCCAAACCATTCATGTGATGCAATTCAATGTCTACACTGCGGTGTAGCAACTTGACAGAACTTCATATTTACGTAACTCATCTTTGCAGGACAGTAAATCCTTCATAACTTAAAACCTGATGAATGATCCAAGTATCTCTGATCACAATTACAAAAGGCTGGAAGAAAGTTTCCTGTGCCACCTAGGAACTTTTTTTAGCAGGTACAAATGAATTAAGTTTCCATTATTAACACAGTGTCCATCCAAACACTACTGATGTACTTGTAAAATAAGAACACAAAGCTGAAACAAGCATTCTGGGCTCTCATTCTATTTCAGGCAGTATTTCATGCAATTCCTTTTAATGAATTTAAGTTCCTCATAAAAAAATGATTTGATTGTGTCTCCCCTATTTTTTTAATTTTTTTTTTTGGAGAGCTGTGGCAGAACATAATCGCTCTAAAGTGAGAGCTGTCTTCTAGATTCCAGTTGGGATTGTTTGTATCACTTGTCATAACATTGTTAAATATAAGTATGAATCATCTGTGTATGAATTACGGGCTTGTTCCACAGACATTAGAGTTTTTAACTTTTACATCCTTTCCTTTCTCCATTCTATGCATATGTATCTCTAACACTGCAGATGACACTAGTAACATCTATTTCAGTAGGATAGGATCAGCTCCATATTAGGTTTGTCAAACTACTACATGGGCTCCCAAAAAGATCCAAAGTAGAAAGCATTTCATACTTTGATCTATAAGAAACGGTGGGAGAAAAAGCAAAGAGAAAGTCAGAAACCATTGAGTTGTTCTGTTAGTGAGTGCAATAACAGATTCATTTCAAATGCACAATTACTGCACATTTAGGACTTTCCTAAATTGTAAAAGACTGCTGGCATCCTCCCACTGTGTTTTAAGCTACTTTCAAGTTCATTGCTGTCAGTGTATGTGTGAGCAGGAGAATATGAATACAAAGGGAGGATTAATCCTGAAACCACTGTATCACAAGTGAAGGTCAATGGATTGACTTTGGAAACAGAAGCTGGGGAATATTTCCAGCCTAGTTTCTCACGAGATGAAGTCACAAAAAGAACTATAAGAAGAGAACTCGCTGAACAATGTCACAGCATAGAATTTAAATATCATATTACTCAGATAAGGAAAAGGCAGGGCAGGACATAATGTAATGGTTTTATTGGCCATTGAATACAACACAAAAACTAACACAAAATTCCTAAAATGGCCCAGGTTGTAGGATGTGATGGTTTAAAATAAAAAAAAAATTGCATAGTTGAGTTTGCTCTTCTGCAAGTTTGATCACTTATGAAATTATGTAAGACAGACCTAGGAAAAAAGGCACCATCAAAAGAGGAATTATTTACTTGATAAATTACCTGATAAAGGTGTTTCTCCTACCATGGGATTTTTCCAGCAGATACAATTTATAACTCCAGTACTATCATCCACTGCAAAAAAAAATAAAAAAAAATAAATCAAGAATTACAGAGTAGGAAAGCAGGTAGACGTTCCGGGAAGTGAAGATACATAGATATGTAGGGAGATAACTGCCAAGGAAATCTCAGTCCAACCAGTTTGAAAGGGAAAGTGGGTGTCTAACCCCACTTATACCTCTGAAATAATTTCCACAGTCATTTCAATCATGGAAGTAGCTCAGCACCAGATGTGTTTATGTGCATGGTCACCAAAGTAACAGGTATACTCTCAAGAAAAGATCAAGCACTAATTTAAATGATGAGGCTTCAACACATAGATTGAATACTAAAGGGTTTTAATCTCATTGACAAAGTCAGAAGAAGAACCAGTGTTGAAAGCCAAAGTTAGACAAATTAAAACAGGAAACCAGGATTAAACCACAGAAGCATCTCTGTTAGAGTGAGAAAACAGCATTCTAACACTGGGGGATACAACCATGTGAATAAACTAGAAGTGCTGCTGCATTGGTTTCCGTGCTAATGCTGTGTTCAAAGTCTGCTGGTCTTTCCTGTACAAGAAGATGTCTGAGGAGCAGAAAGGCAGCTCTTCTAACCAGGAAGGACAGAAGACAGCACATGTTCATGGTTCTGCTCTAGGCCAGGAATTCCCAACTTAAACTATAGGTAATGGTGGCATGCATGCCACTTCCGCTGCGGAAAAAGCTCAACACCTTTTCCCGAGCATGGGAGCTGTCTAGTTTTTCCTGTTTTGCCAGTAGCCAATCAAAATAAGTTTTATAATTTCTGCCCCAGGCACTGCATTGTCAATGACAGCAGAAAAAGACAAAACCCAAAGGAAACTAAAACCTATCAGAAGAATCAGTTGTTCTACAGATCAAAAGACTGTATATAGATGGCCTGGTCACCAAACACTCTCTATATAGAAAGGCACTAAATGTCTGCCAAGGATCATCCAGCCAACGTTCCAAGCAACATTGCTTCCTGAATGTAACCATCTCCAATACTCAGATTCCACTCTTCACGAAAGGAAACCTGCAATTTTCTTCTGCTCCTTAAACCAGATCCATGATTAAAAAAGTAACAACAATGTTTACCAGGAAGGTGCTGATTGGTACCTGCAGTCACTTCCTTCAGAAACCATAGCATCAAAGCAAAATGCCTTTGCATTGTCTCATGTGTTTTGAAACAATCTCCCTATTTAGGGGGTCTAATTTCAAATCATTGTCTTGCCTTCCTGTTTCCCAGTAGTTTAGCTGCACATTACTATTAAAAACGTACAACATTTATAAGATGCAGGCAATTCCCAACTCCATCACAAAAGTATGTTCATCTTTTCTATCCCTCTTTTGAGCTCCTGTGTCTGCAACTATTTCAGCAGCTTTAACTTTGTACCAGAGCACAGATAATGATCTAAGTGGTAGGATTTCCTCTCTTGGTATAGACAGACAGCAACTATTTCAGCAGTCAGAACCTACATAAACCATGCCAAAGCCATCCATGCAAGCCAGCAATGAGAAACAGGGCAGATGACATTTCACTATTACATTCCTGAAGCTTCTAGATGTTCCAGAGCTCTTGACTGGCTGTTGCACCAAATGAAACACACTTCCTAAGAAGGGCTTGGAAACCAAGCAAACAAGACTGAAGGATTAGGAGGCCACACTCCTCCTCCTCAAGGTAACAGCTGAAACTGAAGTCCTGGAGAGATTGACCAGTACGTGACCATACAGAGAATCTGGTAGCAGAGCAAGGTGCTGAAATAAAATCTGCCAGTTCATAGATAAAAGCTTTGAGCAAAAAGACAAGTAACTCCTGAAGCACAGATGAATGAGAACTCTTGCAATTGTATTCTAATTAGACAGGAGAATGTTAATCTATTTTAAATGCACTCAAAGGGTCTACAAGCTTTTGAAAACTTCCTGTGCTCCCTGTGCCGCCCTTCCTCATCTCTTTGGGTTTAAAGTTTTGTTTATTTGGTTTTTTGTAAGTTTGCCTTTTTTTTTTTTCTCCCCTGTTTCTTGTCCGTTTGGATTTGGTTTTTTTGACTCTTACTTAACTATTTGAGGGGTAGCACTGTCAAAGCTACTTTAAACAAGATAATTGCATTCATTTTTATTACTTTATGACAAAAAGGGTACGGTTCTTGTAAGGTCTGCCAGAACCTGCTGAGATCCTGGTAAGATTTTTTTTTCATTTGTTTTTAAGGCAAGTGCCTTTCATCCTTTCAATTAGGTTCTGGAGCATAAAGAAAACCACATGTGATGTTTGATTTTGTTAAAAAGGAAGGGGGGAGAAAAAGAGGTCAGAAAGGTGCATTAGCTAAAATATGAGCTTGGTCAAAGCTACATTTTAATTGGATATCCTCCTCCTAGCTGATCATAATAATAGCAATAAACAATCAAATCAAAATGTCAAAATTAGGTTTTAAAAAAATAAAAATTACATGCTGTGTCAGACAGGAAAGAGTCAGTTCACTCCCTTTTACAATTATTATTTTATCACCAGTTCTGGTTTTCAGCAGAGAGGACCTAAGATTCTTTAAAGTGAGCGGTGTGTATTTTGAAGCAGACAGACAGGAAATGGGGGGGGCATAGTGGCAGTGACACAAAGACATTTCAGTTCCCTATCAGAGAAAAAGTACAAAGGGAGAATTGCTTTGTAAGTCACTTTTAAGCAGATGGAAAGTGAGCAAGCCTTGAGCAGTGTGTGGCATTCCAACTGATGCAATGCCTGATCCATGACTCACAAACCGGAGTCTTGAACTGAGAAATGCAAGAAGTTATAAGCAGGAAACTGTCTAAGAAGTTAAAATTTTACACTGTTGGAGTCGGCCTGACTGAAAGGGAGGGCGGGCTGGGGAAGGGCACCTGGCAGGTAGCCTGAAAGCTCAAACCAGGAACGGCCGGAACAAAGCGTGGAGTTGGATGAGACAGGACAGCAGGAAGCAGGCTCACTGAGAGCTGCACTTAAAGGTTGGCTGATCTAACACTAAGGCCTCAATCCCAGTACTCCACAGTTTCTTTTTATTTCTATTCCTCTGTTTTCTGCCCCAGTCAAACATTTTCAACGGGATTACTTGATAAACAGATGCTGAGGATAGCACTGAAAACTTTTGTCCATAGAATTGTTTTGCCTTGGTCATTTTGATTCCGTCTTCTCATGAAAAGATAACTGTATTTGCATACTAGTGCAATAAAAGAACAATAGCTGAAGTTCAGTTTACGTTTCAACACTTCATTACATCATCAATTACATCTCCACCTCTTAACTTAGGCATTTGTTTACCCTATGCCATTTCAAGTGCCAGAGAATCTTGTTCATCAAAATATTTACTGACAACTTATTATTTAGCATAATGGCGAGATAATAACAAACATTCAGAAATTAGACTTAAAAAACCAAAATCTAGAAAATATTCACACTAAGACACTTGCAAGGAGAGCACAGAGTCAACTCTCAGCAGCTGCATCCTGTGCAGGGTATGTTGGATGCACTAGCAGCCAATGCTACTCTGAAGCAGTACGATGCAACTGCAGGTGTTGCGGTAAAGTTGTCACCTGTATCTTCACAATACTCCTGTGGGCCAGGAAAGTGCTGCTGACTCAATTTTATAAACAAGGGAATTTGGAAGAAGAGGCACTCCATGACTTACCTCTGTCAGGTGGAAACCCACGGCAGAGGAAGACACTGGGCACAAGGGCTTCAACAGGATCTGTGCATTTGCCTCCCCCTTCCTACTGAGAGGTCACTTCCCCCCACCTTTTGAAACTTGCCACATCACCACTACTCCACTCTGCTTTTTTTTCCAGATGAAAAAGACAGCTGAACAAAATGACAATCAGATGTTTCCATGTTAATAAAACTGTCTGAATACTGGGAAAAGCAATAGGGAGGAGACAATTCCCAGCTGGTGTTGGCAAGGACTGGTACTATGATGCTTGAGTTAGATTTGCTAAGACTCTTGTCCATCTAAACATAAACAAGCTCCTGACCACTATTAAAAAGCTATTAAAAGTTGCCTCCAAGATACGACAAAACATACAAGAAGTCAGAAGGGATTTCTAAGGTTCAAAAGAGGAAGAAGTAATTTCCCATTTGCAGGCACTGTTAAATCTGTTTGTCCCTGACCAAAGGAACTGCATATATATGAGAGAAAGGTAGTGGAGTCCAGTGATAGAGCAACAATCAAAATTAAGATTTGCTATATGACCCCAAATGAATCAGTTACTCTGTTGTAACTATTTGATTCTCTACTTTTGAAGTGAAGATAAACAGTAGCTTCCCTAAATTTGCCAAGTAATCTGATATACATTGTATTAGGATAAGAGCACAGCTGTTTCAAGAACAGACAATGATCAAATAAGGAAGCCTTTCAGTTCCAATAATAACTAAGATTAGAAAGCTGATAACTACAAGAAGAAAGAAAGAAACTTTCCTTACCTCCATAATTATAAAAGGCATCTCTCTCCTTCGTTTGAACCACTGTCCCGACAACATCCACTTGTCTTACTGGATGTCCATTATAAAAGAATATACCTAGGCATAGAACATGCTTGATTAGTGTAACTATTTCTTTCAACATCCTACCCTACACATTCACATTTATCAGTAAAAAACATAATTTCTTACATATTTAATATATCTGAAATTATACAATGCCTACACAGGAAAAATTCCCTGGACACTGAAGACTAGGAACACTAAAAGGAAAAAGTATCAGCTCCACTTGGGATACCAAAAGCTTGCTTTTATAGAGTGTCAAAACTTCATTAACCTCGTTTTCTTGCACATTTGGATCAGAAAAACAGCTGCAGGCATTAGTTTTTTTTTAATTTCTTGTTTTGTTGTTTCATTTGGGTTTTTGTTTTGTTTTGCTTTGCTTTGTTGTTTGTTTGTTGGTTTTGAATTTTTTTTTATATCTTCATCAGGCTTCAGAATAAATAATAGAACACAAAGGAAGCAGTTTGAGCTTCTCACAATGCAGCTGTTCCTGATTAAGGCAGAGCCTCTGAAAGGAAAACTAACATAATTCTGTCTTTCATTTCTAGAAGAACAGGAGCCATGGGGGCAGGGTGAGAGCAACAACCCTCTCAGATTGAGGAGTACACTATTGCAGTCATTGTGGACTGCATCCTGAACTTGAGTTTCTGAAAAAAACACGTTCTAAAAACATCCCTTCACAGCTATTTTTGTACATCTATAAAGATAACTTGAATAACACATAGAAACGTGTCCAGGAAACAGTGAGAAATCAGAGCCCAGTGGACTCTGACAGCACTGAGGTTGCCTCATTCTGTAATCCCTTTCAAGAGAATGACAAATGTTGTTAACAAACACCAATGTAAACATTATACACTGAGGCTTCACAGTGCACTATCAGGAGAATGATAGGGCAATAAGCTCCAAATATACCCTGGGCTGGCTAGTTTTCAGTGCATGTGTTTTCTCCAGCTTTTGAATACTGCTGCTTTACTGAAGTATGCCATCTGGGATGTTCAATAACTGTCTTCTGAAAACTAAATAACTCAAGGGACTCAAAAGGGAACATTTGGCTCTATACACTGTGGCAAGTGTTATTCTTACAAAGGGAAAGAGAAGCAAGGCAGCAAGGGAGTCAGAAAAAAGTCCTGTATAAAAAAAACAACCCAAAACCAAAATCCAAAAATAACTTGTCCTACATAGCTAACAGCCTTAAGTGAGCCTGAAATTAACTTTCTTCATGCAAGACAGAGAGAAAATCCAAAAGCTTTAGAAGAAATAATAAGTGATCAGCCAAGCAGATCATAAACACAAGTTTTGCACATGAAAATCCATTGCAATGTTTTGAGGATGCATTTATCACTCTCATTGTAGATTTGGCTGTACTAATCATGCAGTCAGTGGTCAGGTCTGGCATAGAAAATGTTTGGCAGGTCTGTCCACTTTCCTCTCATTTACCAGGACACTGTTATAGAAACCCTCAATGGAGATGCTCCCAGTGTACACAGTTATTCATTCAATCTTACAACATCTCAATAAAAGGTCTGGGCTGGTTTCAGGGTAAGTCTGTAGAGCAGAGACTCCAAGCTCCTGATTATGCAAACAAGCAACATGTTATTATGTTCATTTCCCAGTTAGTTAGCTGAGTTTTAGCAAATGACAGAGACTGAATAAAAGTCTCCATCCCCATAAATTCACACAGAACTCCACCCTTACTCTCCAAGAAACGACTCAAATTAATTTGAAAGACGAAATTATATTTAACCTATTAAAAGCTGTTGGACTTGATGACTTCGAGGTATAAATTGTTTCTCCTGCCAGCTTATTTGTTCAAATTACGTCCATATTGGTAGCAATAAAAATATACTCAACATTTGAAGCTACGGACAAACATGTTCTTTGAGGCTCCTAATAACCCAGTAAACAACACATACAGCACTAGGCTCTTACCACAACAGGAAGCCACAGCAGGGGTACAAGGGCCTATAGATACAGAGCTCTCTAGAGCAGGTGCTGTTCACGTCTTTACCAGCATTACTGAGCACTGAGCTGTTTGACATTACTTTAATTATTATTACCTCCTTTTATGCTATTTGTAGCTTCCCTCTCCTGTTGATAAGCTGTCACAATGCAGTAGTGCATGATAACTCTGAGAAAAGCTTATTTCCATGATGTGATTATGTGTTACAACTGAGTTTGACACCCACTCTCATTGCAAGGCCTCTAAGACAACACAATTGCTGGTTTTATCTGGGAGGTATTCCAGCCTTCTTGTCACCATTTATAGCAGGAGAGTAATTGGCCAGGCTTACTGCTTTCCTCCGTGTTGTTTTAAGGCATTAGTCATAAAGGCATCAAATCCTAATGCTTAAAAATGGAAAGAAAAAACTCATTAGGTCATTTAGTCCATTTCCTCAGGGCCAATACAAGACCATTTCATGGCAATCTGTACAGTCAGGATATAAACAATCCCAGTGAAGGGTATCCCACCTTTTTCCTGGGAAGGCCGCTCCATGGTTTAGCAGATGTCATTCTAAGGATGTTTTTTCTGACATTCAGTCTGTATTTCTTTCCATTCCTCCTAGTTGCAACTCTTTGTTTTGCAGTCATTCATTCTTAATTACCATTACTTAATGACTGATTTATAGTCAATCATATACTTAGCTTCAGCTGGTCTTTAAAAGCCCATTAAAGGCAGGAAATACTGACAACAAACACCTACATTCTTCCTTCCCCAAAATATTTTTTTTTTTTTTGTGTTTCTGTTGTGCTATCATTTGTTGCTAATAAATAAGACATGCTGAAGGGTATCTGGTTTGGTATATACACAGCACCAGGAGAATTAAAAAAAAATCAGGATGTTTGTTCTGTGAAATTTCATCTTATTCTTTAAAGTTTGGTTTAGAAAATTACACAGGATTGCAAGCAAGCTTAGTTGTGCAGAATGCCAGGTGCACAGGAAGTGGAGAAAGCTCACATGCACCAACTGTAAAGGCTGGTATCTTGACATAACAGATACCACTTCCTTAGGATCATCTTAGGAGAAAAAAGAAAACAAAACTGGAAGAGTTTCTGAAGCAGAAGCCAACTCACTTAAGTAAAAGAACAGGAAGGGAAGTGAGAAGGGAAATTCAGGCAATTTAGAGGTAAAAAAAGAGAGTAGTATTGTATTTTTGAGGACTGTTCTTGCTATCATGAAATGTTCATGGATGTTTATAAGGTTAATTATTTTAAATACATTTTTACATCTGTATGTACAATTGCCCAAGTCCAAACCACAATCCTATTCTGCTGCAATTTATGTTTTGTATTTTGTTTGAAAACAATCAGAATATCTCTAATTGAAGCAGAACAGTTTTTACTAGATGCACTTGCTACACCAGTACTACTATAAGACTGTTATAAGACAGTTTAAAAAGGCCTCTAAATAATACTCACTGTAAGACAAACATCGACAGCCTGTAACATAATTCATGCAATAGATTTAAGACAAAAGTCTCCCACCATGAGACTGACAAAGATATAGATAGATAGATAGATAGACAGACAGATACATATATACATACATACATATATACTGGGGTTTGCAGTTTGTGAAGTCCTATGTACATAAAAATGGCTGCAAGAAGAGCAAATAAAACCACCAGTCCTTCACTTCTGCAAAAATAGCAGTGCTGCTATCCTTGCTGTTAAAGAAAACTAAAGAAGAATAACAAACCCTACGAGGCAGAGCATATTCAAAAAGAGACAAACAGATGTACCTTGTCTCTGTGGACAGAAAAAATACAAAGAAAAAACACAAACAAAACATGAAAACCAAACCAAAGACACATACTCTGCTTAGGGTTTATTGCCTTTTCCTCATTAATTCTAAGTTCTTTGTGTTTCTCCCTGATAATCTTGCACCTTGTCAAGGTTCAGTCTGGAGTAATGAACCCTTCTACAGTAGAAAACATACTGAGGTCTACTTAAAGTCTTCGCAGTGAAAACAGAAATTCAAGATCAGACCCACGTCACTTCAGACAACGTTCACACGTGGGCGACACCGGCTGAAGACCAGCAGGAAACAGACTGCAAAGCAGACAACTGCCAACAATGGCTTGGAAATAAGTGGTGTAGTACAAGATCCAGCACAGAGGTCAGAATTTACAATACAGCTGTTCAAACGTATGAAGAATGTCATGTATCAATCACATCTAGAAATTAAGCAAACAAAACCTCAAAAACTGTTTCTGTTTTATAAGACATTAATATCCACAGGAAAGCACAATATACACACGCAGAGCAATGTCATCAATTGTCAAAATTTTGCAACAAAGAGCCATAAAATCCTTCTCAAATGTTGTAGAGATGGTGGAAAGATATAACACATACAGCCAGAAAGGACCAGGATTTTTTAAAATTAACTTTACCAGAATATAGCAAGCACTACCACATAAAGGAAACACAACATTACCTTAGTGTACAAGAGATTCTTGATCCATATATGAGAAAGAAAAGCCATTGTAATAAAAACATTTTATTTTTCACATATATTTCACATACAACCTGTTGTTCTTAGAACTGTTAAAGGATACCAACGTCACTTAGCTTAAGGGTATGGAAAACTACTGATGTTCATGAAGCATTCTGCAATCCTTTGATAAAAAGCACAGCATAAATAAATTATAATACTGTGTGCATCATAACCAGCATGTATAAATACATACCTGGCACCTGTTTAGATTCTCTCATTTCTTTTATATCTTTAATATAGAGTCTTGCAAATGCAGAAAATACAGGATCCATCCCCCAGTGTAGGGAAGGTGTCTCTTCCTCATACTTCTTGGATTCAGAATGCATTCAAAACCTGTGAACACGGAAGGACTTGTAATTGTTTTCTACAGGTAAAGAGCTGTTCACATATGTTCCAACTAAATACAAAACAGCTCATGAATTTACACACAATAACACATAAGAGCTGATGATGAGACACAGGAGTTTATCTAATACATTATATTTATTTATCAATATTCCATGTGGCACCACATGAAGTATTCAAAGTATCAATACTCATGATTTGTTTGAAATACTGAGAATCAACAGCAACATTTTCTCCAGTTCCTTCAAATGAAACAGAATTTCAGGGATTTTTCCCCTATGAATCCACAGACAGAGAACCAAAGACAACACTTCTTTAAAAGAGCAGGATTGTGGGATACTAATTGGTTACTTCCTCTACATGTGATTATTATTCCCTCTATCATTCTCTTTTCCTCCCATAACATATTCTTCTCATTGTTCATCCTGTGCTTTATTGTGGAGGTGGGGGAGAATGACCTTATATAAAACAAAAGCAGCCGACCCTTCTTTATTTTGGACACATAGTCTCCATTAACTTTGAAATTGTTATTTTCCCCTTTTACCTCTTCAGATTTTGCTGTTTAATGGCTGCTATCTTCTGCCATTACCAGATCCAGCTCTCTGCTTATCATTGTGCTGATGTCAAAAGCCCAGCAATCGATTCAGGAAGGGTCCTCATGAAGATTGGGAAGCTGAAAATACTTTCTATTAGCTCCTCCTGTATGGATAGCTAAATTGTTCCCCTAAAGCTCTCCAGGTCACTCTTGAATGGGTGTCAGCCCCTTTCAGCTCTTGGGCAAAGTTTACAAGTGGACTCATTTTGAATAGTGTGTAACAGGGATGAGATTTGGCAGCTATACTCTCCTGAGAGGGAGCAGCTCCCAATTATGGGTGACCAGTGATCTGTGCAGTCTGCAGGAGACACATCTGGCTACTGATGTAGAGGCAACATGCCATGAATATCACAGTAGCATCTTGCTTCTTTGAGAAACTACAGAGCTTGATTCTGCATAATTTCTCTTTTAATGCTTAAACTTCAATTTGAGGGGAAAAAAACCCAGCGTAGCACAACATGGCAGAGTGTTGCTGACACCTACACTATAGCATGTAAAGAACTGCAGATGACAATTAGATTCCTTTCCAACCTTTATTTTATTTAAATAACAAAAGGTTAGTGTTATTTTGACCCTTCTTAGACTGGTCATTAAATTTATGAGATGTTGAAAATAATTGATTTAGTCAGTTCCACCAGTCACTTCACCACTGAGGAACAAACTAAGCAGTTTTGTTTACACGTGGATCTATATCTCTATCCCCACGACAAACAGCTCTTCCCAACCTTTCTGGTTTGCACCTGCAAGGAATACTCAGAAACATCTCACCATCCTTTTTTCACTCAAGTCTCCCCACAAAGCATTCTTTTTCTGCTGCTGAATTGCAGACACTGCTCAACAGAAATTTATAAACTAAGCTGTTAAGTGTATGATCTTAACACAAGCTGCTATTCCTCCATATGGCAGTTCTTTGGTTACTTGCTACAGACTATGTCAAATTTAGACCATAAAGTTTCCCAAGCAAAGAAATGGTTTCAACCTGTATTCTACTTAGCATGATCATTGTCTTAACAAAATTAGTCTCCTCATCTCTCTCTTTCTGTTTGCTGTCTCTAGGACAAAGTAATATTCCTTTCCGCACCATGCCCCCCAGTTTACTCTGCATGGTTGCAAAGCCTGTCATAGTTCAGCACTCATGTTTTCTCCTAGACAGACATCAGACTGAGTTAACATGCCAAAGAGAGACAATCAGGTAACAAGTCTGCTAACCTTTTCTATTTTGGGTAGGCAGCAACTCACTGGGGCAAAAAGCAGAAGTCACACCTGCACATGTGTGTGTCTGAGGGGAAATCAATGAAGCAACTCCACTGGATATTAAAAATATCTGCATTTTGGTATTTCAGTAAACAGTTGTCAAGCCTGAAATGCCCAAATGTTAACAGATCAAGTTCAAATGATGCTTTTACCTTAAATGGAGCATCTCCATAACTTTTTTTTATGGCTTCCCTTTTCTGAAGGGAGAAGGATTTCTGCAGCAAAAGCTCTTTCTATCTCAGAAACTACTGAGAGTCAAATCTGAAGTTGTGGAGATTGCTTCTCACTCCTAGGCCAGGTTACAGCTCTTCACAGGAGACATTTACACCCATCACATCTGTCTTCACGTACAGACCACTCTGCTTAGTTCAAGTCTGCTACAGACACACAAGGTTTTATCTTACAGATCTGGACAAGATTCTTTGACAAAAAGTAAATCATGCCTCCAGCACTATGAAGGCAACACAAGATTCCTTCAAGTCCACAGGACAAATTTGGTGAAGTCCTGAGTTACAGACATTCCATCCACACCAGGCTGGGACAGTGAAACCTTATTCCAGCCACCCACTCACCATCAGCAATGTCTGACAGGCACATGAAGGGTGTTATGCAGGGCAGTCTCCTCTGGCCTCTTCATAGTTCCAACAGCCCTCCCAACCCCTGCCACCACCCAAAACCAAGACTATTCTTTCTTCTCTCCCAAGCAGCCACTTGGTAGCTACATTTGCACAGTGACCTATTTAAAGCCAAAGCTTGTGGTCAGTTGGAAGGAAAAGCTATTTACTGCCTCCTGGATGTACTGCTTGCCTCCACACTCTCCTATTACCAGTCTATTCTTCTTGGCAGTGTCTGTTTGCTCCTATAGCAAAGGAGGATATTAACCATCTCCAGTATCTATTGTTCAGTGAGTCCAAGCTTGTTTCAGGCAGATGGAGAGTATTAGAAAACATAATTCCTCCAAGGCAGACAGAATTCTTCCAATCAGTTTATCTTTTGATACATAACAGTATCTTCCTGTAACTTTTTCTTAAGTTGGCACAGGAAGCCTCTCCATCCCAGGCAGAATGAACCAGGGGTTAATTAATGAGTCATCCTGGCAAAAGCAGAACTTTCCATTATGCTGGAAGTATTTTCAGCTCTTAACTGGTACCATTGGTGATATGCTATCAGCAAGGAAGATAAGAGCTGCCTGTTCAATGAAGATCCAAAGGGCAAATAGCCTGCATTGTGGAGATGCACAGCATTATAATCAATGAGAGCACAGACAATAAACAATAGACAATTCTGAACAGATACTATAAGTACAAGTGTTTAAGGATCAAACTGGCTTTTGCTGTAAAATGGTGATCATGCTTAGCAATAAAAACAGAGTCCTAGCAAAAGGTCATCCTTTTCTGCATTTTGTTTTAAATGCAGTGTAATGATTTCAGGGTTGCTGTAGTGCAAGGAATTCAATCCTGCTATAGGAAAAAAAAGGGCAAGAGAAGCATCTGGTCCACAGGTTTATTAGACAGAAGATATCTGTATTCTATTTTTAACTCCAAAGAGAGGATATAAAGCCATAATCAAAACCAAAAATAGAATTATTATCTTCTTGGGAAAATAACTCTGTTTCAAGGGCAAAAATCTAAAGTTTACATAGTAGATATCTAAATACGAATAAACAACAAACCTCAATTTGAGATTATTCTAACCTATTAAAATAAGGCTGTCCCTTTCACCTACTGCTATCAGTGTTAGCTTTCCTGACTGTACTGAGAAGTAAACCAATTCCATAATCCTCAGAGTTATCTTGTGAGCTCAGCAAGGTATTATCCTAAAAAGGAAAGAAAGGAAACCAAGGAAAATTGGCACCCTTCCCAACAATGCCACCACCCAAAACCAAACCCATTTGCTTTCTTCTGTCCCAAGCAGCCTACCTGGTAGCCTTGTGAGAATAGCTTCCTAATTAACACCTGAGTGAGTTATTCAACAGAATTAGCCCTGGCCAATAAATTTCGTTGCTCATACTGTGTCCACCATGTACGTTTTTCAAAAAAGGTAAATGGTATTCTTCCAATCTCAGTGAAATGGAAACCTCAAAGAGGAGTATCTGTTTTAATGTTTCTTGTAGTTTTTTCTCCAAATTTGATTAACAACTAAAGCTCTGGGAGAAAATTGCCCTAGTTTAATCGTTTGGAGCCAAGAAAAGGTGTCTTGCCAGCAGTTGTCTGCAACTACTCTGCAACTGCTGGCAGACTGCTGCAGAGATTTTTTCTCAAGTTAACTGTGAATCAAAACCAGAGTATTTATGCATTAGTACAGGCGGCTTAAACATCCTACCAGTCCTTCACTCTTCTCCAAAGACTGCCACTAGTGTACCAGCACTAATGATTTACACAGGAAGCAACCCCTAAGCTGTTGGAGTTGCCAACCCAGTGCACTAAAACAACTTAAAGTCACCACTGGTTTACTTACATAAATTAGGCTACAAACTGTGGCTGTCAAAGAACTGCTTCATAGGTCAGCCATCCCTGCCACAGAGAAAGCAACTTGTAGAAAGAGGAGCAGAGTCGACAGCTGGGTTTTGTAACACCCTCTGTCATCTGAATTGAAATCATCTGTGTCTGAGTCAACACCCTATGTGACAAATGAGTATTATTCAACTCTTCACCATCAGCAGAGGCAATTCCAGCATGATACAGTCAAAAACACCATATTTCAATAAATGTTTTTAATTACCCACAGCCACATACAACATTTTAAATTAAAAACAAATAAACCCACTATATTATTATACAAGTAGATCTTACTGAGCCGGGAAGTAAAGCCTTTGGTTACAGTTAATACAGAACCAAGAATCTAAAACCGAAACTCATCCATAGATTTTTAAAAAATACATAATTAAAAGAAAGTTTCCAACACTAGTAACAAGATGAAAACCACCAATGAGATCAAAACATATTACTCAAAGACAAAAATAAGGCTCCTGGAAAAATGAGTATTGATATCAACACCTAGGTAACAACAAGATAAGGTCATTTTAGATCCAGTTTTTACATGGTTATTCTATTAAAAATCAAGGTAGGGTAAGCTCTTTCAATCAGTACTAATAAATTACCTTCTGCTTCTGCTCATGTTAAATCCTGTAAGTTTTGAT